CAGGAATGCTGAATCAATTGTGTTGGAGTAGTATTTTCCAAAATTAGTGCTTAGAAAGACATTTTATTCATGTATGCTTCGCTCATTGAAACCATTGAATGAGCTCTAGACATGTCATTGGATTAGTACTCACAGCCCAAACGGGTGTCTCAAATTCAAAGTTCAAACCGAGACATGGGAAATTTACCCATTTAGTTGGGCCGGGGGGAACGGAAAGCGTAAACTAAATCTTGATCCCAAATTGTTGGCGTCAGCTGTATGAATCTATTTACAGTATCTTGTCCATTATAGGTTCAGATTCTCCTCGAATTTTTGTTGGTGCTGCATCATTTTAGATGATGGCAGCTATCCTGTCGTGTGTGACAGAACTGAAATGGAAAATTGTTTTGTTTGAACACGAGTAGAAGTGGAATTTGTATAGGCTACGAGAAGGGACTGAGTTTTTACTTATGCGGAAGTTTGTTATACAGAGGACAAGGTTGGCTTGTTATTATTAGATGTGTGAATTTTAATTCGTCAGGAATTGTGAAGCATCCACAACCTCTTGTGATTGATGCTAGTACCCTTTTGGGACAGATGGATGTACATGATAGAAACATTATAAGCATGAACATGGCTGTGCTTGAATGCTTGAAGCTAAAAAGAAACTTGATGAGTTCTGAAGTTATCATTCATAATATTTAGAGAGTCATAATTAGTTGCTTAGACCATAGTTGATGTCAGTAGGAAACAATAAATCAAATATGCTGGGCTTTATTGAATGTTATTCTGAAAATCTCATTACAAGTTCTTTTTATAGCTTGAAAATGAGGAAATTTTAGCAATTACCAGGAAAAGAAAAGGGATTCTGATGCCATTTGTTCCGTGATATGTATTAGAATCCAGAGAGAAGCATCTTTCTTCAGGGCTTATCATAAATTTATTTGTGGAAATTAGTAAGAAGCAGGTTCAGTATCTGGTATATTTTAACTTTGTTAAGCAATTGCAAGTAAACCGTAAACACTTGATTATCCCCAAAACAAGTGCTCACAGCTATGGTCTTACTAGTTACAACTGTGAGAGTTAGACAACCCCTGGCTCGTTTGCTAGTGTGCTTAATGTTATAAGGAAACTAAAGAGTGTCCATAATGGAGTGGATGAAATTGTTCCCTGGAGGAAAAAAAACATCTGTTGATATGTCATGTATTTGCGGACAAGGACGATGTGTCATCAGGAGAAGTGTTCTCGGAATAATGGAAGAGAAGAATGTTGTGGTTCTTGTTGGTAACAATCAAACAACACAAGGGTAGGGTGTGGGTTGGCAAATTGTTGACTCAAGATAAAATCATAATATGGAAGGGTTGCCTGATCCTTTTACGCTACTACTTCCCTGTGTTTCTCATATTAATACTATTTCTAGTTTTTATAGACAATAATAAATAATTAATCTGCGTGAAGATTGAAAACGACGAGCTTTTTCATTGATACCTTTGTATGTGGAGCCATGAACTTTGGTGTGGGTTTTATGTCTACTTGCAGTCTGACTGATTCAGTGATTTGCATAAAGAGCTTTTCATTACTGCAAACAATCAGGTAGTCATCACGTAAAGAGCTTCTAGCTTGATGTCTCCATTCTTGGCTTTGCATGTCATGTACATATATAATCAATCTGTCATGGAACTGGAATCTCAGGTGGCCTTTTCATGCAACATATTGCTTAAGTTTGTGTTCATCTCTTGTGGTAAATTGCATGCTGACATTGAAGATTTGATGAATGACTGCGTATGTTACAGATGGTGGACAGAGTGGAGAAAGAGGGAGCCTGCAATGGAGTTATAGATAGCATGATGGGATGGAGGCTATTTGTTCATAGGACTTTGAAGTACAACAACTAACAAAATCTCCTTCTTTCTTATTTTTATGCCACAGTTTATTACGATGGAAAAAACTCCTGCACTTGACAGGAAAAGAGGAAGGAATTGCCTTCTTATTGTTATTATTATTACCGTCAGAAACCAACTTCCCCGGTCCGAGCAGTTAAAAATGGTGACTCGGGATTTCCACTAGAAAATCTTAGGTTCAATACTCCCTCATTACACCATTTCATGATGCTTGTCGATCATGGAGGTCTATGCTGGATCATTTGTTTCATAATAGACATTTTTAGGTTTAGCATGGTACAAAAAATATTGTTTTTTAAAGTATTTATTATTTGGGAATGTATTGATATTTTTAATTTTTAATAATTTAGGGTAAATTTGAAAAGAAAAAAAAATCATCCAACCGTAGCGCTTTTAAAGTGTATTTGCCCTTAAATCGTGAGGGTTATGGCAAAACAAAATCTTAACTACTAATTCAATTTATTATATTTTTAAAACAAGATCATAACAAATATTTTATTGTGATAATAATTTTTTTTTTAAATATATTTTTTCTTTTTAATATTTATTTTTAACATTAACCTATCAAAATCATTCATATAACTTTTGAAATGATGTTGTCTCTCTCTAGAAAATTTAAAACGATATGTTGAAAAGTTTTTTTTTTTTCTTAATTATTTTGGTTTGTTAAAAAAAAGAGTAAAATATGTCATTAAACCGACAATTTTGGTTCCAAATAATACCATCACTTCTATTTCATTAGGAATCAAATATAAGTCTTGGAGGTCAAGGTCTCCTCAATACTTCCACAGATAATTTTACAAGGACACCAAAGGGCCACAAGGGAAATAAGGGCATTGACAGAATGAGCTATTGCCTCTGTCATGGCATACTATCCACTAATAACCAGTTGATAATAGCAAAACATGACGCAGTGCTGTGAGATAAAATTACGAGTTACAATTTTTGTAAATGGAATTTACTCATCTGATAGCAATCAAACTAAAACATGCTTTTTCTTTGGATAGATATCATGGCACTAGCTATTGTTTTTGTGTTTAATTAAAGTTAAATATCCATCTCAACAAAAGAACAAAACACTCAATTGTGACAATCAAGTGGGGATTACAAGAGGTCTACTGCATATAAATTCTGGACACAAACCGCCTGAGTTCTAATTTTTTTGCTCCAATTCATGCCACCAAACACAGTTTGCAAATCCATTTGAGAGATTAAAACATCATCCTTGAAAGGCTGAAGTTGAGGAAGCTGAATCTCGGGTCAAATAAATCTTTGTCCTCAAATCCCATGATGTAAAGATTTCTCAGAACAAGTTTTAACAACCAATAAACAAATGAAAACAATCAGATAAAAATCATTATACTCTAAAATGGCAGTTCCTGCTAAAAGCATTCTATCCCGAGCAATGGTCTTGTCTATTCACATGAATTACAGAACAAATGCATCACAATGAAGTTCTTCAAAGCCGCTAATCAAATTTTACCATTTGGTGAAACCAAATATAAAAGAGTGAAAAAAAAAAAAAGGAAACAGGAGGGGGAAAGAAAGAAGTTCACATGCATTTATGATCTCCGAGAAACTATGTAGTATGAGCATCATGTGTCCGTGACGCCCATATACCAAACACAAGAAACCAGAAGACAAATAAGATAGCCCAGTAGCGAGCAGGTCCATATTTGATTCTGGTGAGCACAATCTGCAAGTTGTAAAAGCATAAACATCAGCCCAGTTTCATTTATGTATCAGAATTCAGAACCACCATGAACCAAATTTCCTTCAATGTTTTCCTTTACACAATTCTAAATTTTGCAAAATTTGTTTCTGTAAGAGTTTCAAAAAAATGAAAGAAATGGATAATGAGCACAGATTTTAATAAGAGAAATAGAGCACAAGCAAATTAAGTCAGCTCTCCTGCTATGCAAATCACGTGCTAGCACTTAGATCAGTATTATTGCCATATACCAAGCATTTACACAGCCTTGACATTCAATTACAGCCGAAAACATGCTACAAAACCTAATTTCTTAAAATGGTTTCCTATTGTTCAAAAAAGAAAAACCTCATTACTTGCAAGCAGAGAATTCCAGAGAATTTAAATTTCAAGTTAATGTTTTGTTCAAAACCATCACAAAGAAGGAAGGAAATTATAGCCTCACAAGGGGCATAAAGCTGCTGGAATTCTCTATGTTTATAGCTGGACAGAAACTAACAATTTGTATATCTTTCTGTTAGACAATTAGCATTACCATGCTTGGATTTGGACTTATTCTAAATACACCCTTCAGTACTTTGACTCTAAGATACACAACAAAGGCCACAAGTTATGACCATTAAAGAACATACCATAAATGAGAAACAAGGGCCGGCTTTTACTTTTCAGAATGTACAGAAATTTCCCCAAAATTATAAAAACACAGAAGCAGCAACCGATTGACCTAAACAAAGATATATTAGGACAAAAAAGACTACGATGTTCCAATGGTGCAACTTCGAAAATCAGAAATCTACATTTACTTTTCCTCGAATCATTTGCCAGCACCACTTCGTCAACCAAATTCATATTTCACTCAGCCAGGTGTATCAACACTATCTATCAAAATAGTTATATTGAAGAAGAGCACCACTCTATAATCACATGTTTCTGTGGAAACCTGAGGATCATGATACCTACCGTCTACCAAGATACTTAAGTCATAACACAAATATGCATCTGCATCCATAGATCAAAAGCTGTGATGCTGGAATACAGAGTCAGAAAGACTAAGAGAAATAAGTAACTTACAAAGCGAAAGAAGATCACAACTGTTAGAGCACAAATGCCTCCAAGGAGAATATGAAGACCACTTTTGGCAGTTTTCTGAAGAAGAGAGCTGAATAAGTTGCATAATAAAACACAGAATTCAAATAGCTAAAGTCATTAACATTCTTTTGCAACCAACTAGCATAGAATAACATGCAGAGGCATAAATAAAAGAATCCAGAGCAACAAACAAATTAGACAATAAAATATTTCCAAAATGCTAAGTGAATCATCTGTGCACCAAGCTACGAATTCCTCTCAAATGAATAATAGTAAGAATAAGATTTGTACAATCACTTTGTTTTTTTCTTTATACATATAATTTAACAGTTTTAGGGAGGGCATGTTTGAACTGACTACCTCCCTTTCAAAGTAGAGTTATGCTACCAATTTGGATATGCCTTAACCATTGGAATTTCATATGGTGTATGTGAATGATGACAATGTTTCACAGCATACATGCTTCGTAAAACTTCCCATAGCAAAGCTCAAGTTATTGTGATTCATTTAATAGCTAGACAAGAAAAAGAAACAAGCAATATTCTACTTTACTATACAGTGTAGCGTGCAAAACTAACTAAAAAATCCTAGCCTGCAAAATCCAAGCATGATATGCAAGAAGATACCGCCTCTGACAAGAAAGTAATCTTTCAAAAATGAATGTGTGTGTGTGTGTGTGTAAGTGAGCAGGGGGTTGGCACTAATAGAATGAGCAGGCATAGTAAATAGCAAACCATGAAAATGTTTAAAAATAAGGCTCCAGATGAACCAGGAATCATTACACCAAACAGGTTCGGAGTGCATCAAGAAATAATTCATCCTCTTATAATGTCCGAGAGTGCCATTTTGCTTACAAGCACCAAATATGACACAAAGTGTCAGTTGGCTAAAGAAGCTGATTATTCCAACTACCAGCATCCATACCAGCCCGACAACAGCACACTGATTTGAAAAGATCCAACCACCTTGAATAGGAAACACAAAGCACCAAATCCAAAGCAGCTAGACAATGGATGCATTCAAAAATTCACCAACACTCCACCCATTTACTGATAGCAATAATGGTTTTCCCATTCATTCATCCATAAGAAGCCAAATCCTCTAACCAGTTGCATTCCTAAAGGAAGAAGCTATACTAGGGAAGCCCAAGGGCACCAGATATCCTTCAAAGGACAATGTGTCCCCAAAAGCACTCAAAAACTCAGCGTTAGTAGCATGCCCCTAAAGCCTAAAGTGCATCTTCTCTATGTCCTTCCAACTGACCCCAGCCCATTAAAACAGTTCGGAAGGTTCACTATTAATCCAGACCCCTTGTTTCATTGTGTCACCCCCCCCCCAACCATCCAGCAACCACCTATGATTAACTTTGATAAATCTCAAATTCTAGGGAATACCACCATCAACACTTGTTGTGTGTCATTGATCAGTTCACAAACATTATGCCAAATAGGCAATGCAGTTGCAAACATTCCCAACCTTCCAACTAAAGATTTTATATAAGCATAGAAGACTGACCAGCATAAAAATATTCACCTTGTGTGGCATCAGAACTCAGAAGCATGGCACAACTGACATGACAAATAGATTTATAAACCAAATAGAAACAAGACAAAAAGCTAACTCCAAACAGTTACGAGTGCACATATCAAAACCTTCTAAGGGATTTTGACCAAGCAAAAGTTATATAAAAAAATTACAAAAAGTGTCCATGGTGACAGAATTATAACTGATTAAAGCTCAGGTCTCAAAGACTCAGGTTCCCAAAAAAAAAAACTTAACTTCTGAGAACAACAAGATCAAGGGGCTGGCTAGACGGACAAACTAATGTTCAAGCCTCATATAGCATAACCAAGTGGATTGAGGAGATACATGTGTGTGAACATGTATGTAGATAAATTGCAAAGACACACAAGCACAAATGCATGTATAAGAATGGAAACTAAAAACTCATATGTAATAATTTATCCCCGGATATTCTTGGTTCTATACTTTTCGATGTGAAGTCAAAATCACAGTAGCCAAAGCAATCAAAGACTCCAAGTTCAGAAAAACATTAGAAGATGTATCTGCCACTGTCAGTAATCACACAATAGGAGGTGGCTAAAAGAACTCTTAACACATTCTAGTTGTGACACTCAGGATGTCAGACATCGAAAGGGTGGTCTTTATATGGATTATGGGATAATCCACTCAGCACCTCAAACTTCGGGTTGTAGAACTCCAAATGTGGTCTAAAGGTCTAGTTCAAGGTGCGACCAGACTCCATGTGTGTCTAATTTGTTTTGTTTGGGCCACCTAGAAGGCCATTAGACTTGTTTCTATTGGAAACAGAGTTTTATATATGCACAGCCAAACAACATGCAAAAATACAAGAAAACATGTTAATTTGGTTTATTCAATAATTAAGGTGTTTCACTGTGATGTGCTTGTTACTTTATCACTTTCCATGTTGGTATAGTATTGGCATAGACACTCATGAAATTTTCTTGTTTGTAGAAACAGTGGCACATAAGATGACCCAGTAACAATATATGTTCATCTGGAATTGCAACTTGGGAAACTAGCAAAACAATTCCATGCATATGTATCTTAGTTTACTCCAATTAGGTTGAACCACCACACCTTTCCAACACGGGGAGCAATAAGCCATGCTAGAGTAACAGTGAGTAGCCCTGTTGCAAGCAAAATCCCTGTACCTTCCACAGCCCATTTAGTTGCACGATTACCAGCAGGGACAATATCTTCTGTGACAGTACTCAGGGGTTGTTCAGAAACAACCTGTGAAACTGCAGCAGAATTATTATTATAATTATTGTTGTTATTATTGTGGGGACAAAACCACAACGAAATTTCACTTAGCCGTTGCCTTCTAACACCAGCAACAGCATCGGGATCAACACCTGCACTAGCATGCACCTGAGCAGGATTAGGGTCTCCAGTGGCAGTCCTTTCCCTCAATGCTTCATAATCCTTCAAAGCAGCCATAACCTTTTTAAAGTCTGAAGTCCTGATATTTATTGCAACATGTCCACAGATTTCACAGACAGTGGATCCATGATTGACAAACCACTTGAGAGCACATGCATAGTGCACCAGGGCAAGATCACTTTTGCAAGAGCAGCCAAGTTCAATTAACAAGTCTTGTTGGTGGTGAGAACCCAATTCTAAATCTGTATCTGCATTACAAATGAAAACCTCCCCTTCAGGGCTAAAGAACTCAACCAGCCCTGATTCTCTTCCAGTATTTTTGCCATGGAACTGGTCAGCTTCAGCATTCAAGGGGACTTCCTTGCTTTCATGTTTTACTGCACCACTACTTTTACGTGCTTCTTGCAATGGAGGAACAATGCCCAAAAACCCCAAAGCAGTATCTCCCCTTTTGTCAGATTCAGCACATTGGCACACACGACAAGTTGCTATACCTGCATCTAGACTGCAACGTGCGCCAGTCCCTAAATCTTCACTCTCACTAGGTGAGTGACCATCATTCCTGACTCCACTGCTGATTGGTTGTGATAAATTTTCCTTACTCATCATGTTAACTTGAGGCTTGCATTTAAAACAACTTCATAGTTTGGACTGTTGTATTAAGTTACATTTACTCATGTCCATAGCCAACTTCTCCATAGCAAATTTAAACTGAAGACAACACAGTCTTTTAGCATATCCTTAAGGCAATGGACTGTGTTGTGAGATGCAACCTTTTCCACATGTATAGGCATAGAGAATGCCTTCCTATCTCTTTACCACCATGCTCCCAATTCAAACATAGTTTATTACTGGAAACTGCAAAAAAATTCTGATCAGAATCGAGACATGATAAAATCTTCATGACACAATCATTATGCATCAATGAGGGAAAACAACAGTAAAGAGCAAATGAGTAAGACAAGGCATTTGGCACATCGAGTAGTAGAACAGAACAAAGAATTACATGAATACAAATAACATGACAGGAGTTTATGCATAACACAAGCAAAAAGCGGTTCTTTCTCAGACAAAACAAAAAGAAAAAAGACCTTCACAGCTCCCTGATGCATGTGAATGGGCGATGAAGTTCAGTGAGACAAGAAGAATTTTATCACGTGCTGGTTTTGGGATATCCAAAATCTGAATACTATAAGCTCAAGCAAACAGGAAATAACTCTCTCCTCTTGATTGTCACTAAAAAATCTAGCTTCCTACCTATACCAACTCTTACACTGCCACGAGAATTAATACGAATACCAACGTAAAATTTCAGGCAATTCACACATACAACAATCCAAGTAAGCTGATCAATGATGGATTCATGAAAAATGAAGTACTGAACTGGCCAGGATAAAAGAAATACTACATTTCCAGATGGGAAAAATTGAGAGAGACACGTTCAGTTCAGAAATGGAAAATCAACCAAATAACCGCAAATAAACTCAAGTATTCGATATCAACCCATAATTCTACATAGCCAAACCACAAAATCCAAGCCTGAACCGGATAAGCTAAGTTGATCAATTCATAACTTAACACATGAAAAAATGGCCGAAAAGCAAGGAACTTAAAAGACCAAAAGTACCTTTTTCTTGATTTTGGCTTAAAAGGAAGTGAGTAGTAGTAAGAGAAGAATGGCATCAGGTGCAACTCCAAATGGATCGACGGATCTTTGATTTACAATTTGGCAGGCATTGTGAGGTGTGGCCGTTAAAAAATTACTTCTGATCTCCGTCTCTGTGACTGTGGCTTGCTTTATGCTGGAGAGTTGGTAGAGGATGTCACCACGGATTCTCTGTGCCTGTCTTCCACTCGTCTTAACCCTTTTCACGCGTTCTAGAATTATCCTCGTAAGCAAATTCTTTTTTTAATTATTTAAAAAAAATAAAGAAAAATATTATATTTTATAGTAGTACCAACGGTTACTATAATACTAAACTGACTTTAAGAATAAATTATACTTTAGTCCCTATTTTAAAAAAAATTATATATTAGTCCTTCCAATTTTGAAGCCTCTAGCTTGGTGTTATTGACTGTTGTTGACTGTTGTCCTTTCAAAAACTCGATCGGTTGATTGGTTTCTTCCAAACTCTCACTGTGCACTTTATTCCCTAAGGATTTAAATTGTTGATACATTCGGGGTTGAGAAAAATCAAAAGTATTTTTAAGAAAATAAATGGTCAGCAAAGAGTTAAGGGAATAAGATGTTGTCAGGACTGTTAAAAAAAATACAAAACAAATTTATTTATAACAAATTTGAAGAGGTGACCTAAAATAAATATGAAATAAAAAAATACCCCCAATTGTTTTTCAAACTTAGATATGAAATTTAAATTTTGAGAATGAAATTTTTTAATTGGAGAGGAGAAAAATGTAAAAACCCGGTTATAGTCTAACCTGAACCTAAAAAAATAAAATATAATAATAATAAGATAAAATAAATAATTAAGTATTTGAGGGGAATGAAATTAAACAAAAGAAAAGTGATAAAGCATAAATTTATTTTTTAAAAAAGGATGAGGGTGATTTGGGAAAAGGCTAAATAAAAAAGAGTGATGTACAAAATTTAAAATATTGGATTATATAAATGCTAAATTTTTCTTTTTTTTGCTGATGAATAGAAACCAAAAGAGAGAGGAGGAATTTGTGTGATTTTTCCACTTGTTTTTTTGTTAATTGCATATAAAGGGAGAGAGAAGTGTAAAGAAATTTATTAAAACTAGTTGAGCAATTAAGGAATGTGAATAGATGCCTGATGTTGTTTTGAAGAAAGAGATTCAAAGCTAGAATTAAAGGAAAAGAGAGGACAAAAGAATTTGAATATCTCTTGCATCTATCCTTTGAATTATTATCCAAGTAAGTTAAAAAATGTATTCAAAGTGATTAATTGTTATAATTGTGTGATTTGATGAAGAAATTATATTGTTATGATTATGTGAAATTAGAGTATTAATATTTGAAATTAGAGTATTAATATTTGAAATAATACAAGTTATGATTTAACCATGTTACAAAGTATGAATTATAATTAGATAAAATTCAATTGAAGAATGAAAGAAAAAAAACCTCCTCCTCCCTAAACAATTAGTTTCGGCTAAAAGAAAGAAAATCAGGGAATTGTAAAATTTAATGGAATTGTGTTGGAAATTGTGGGAAATTATAAGTTATAAATGTTAATGGAAAGAATGAATAAGAGTTTTACAAAAACAAATAATAATAATAATAATATCAAGCTTGTTTAAAGACACCAAATTTAATTATGTCAAGAAATGTATATGTAGTATTAAGTCATGTCGATTTAAAATAAAACCGATGAAAAAAGGATGGACTTTTAAATTGAAAAGAATGTAAAATGTATGACATTAAAAGAAATTGATGAAATGAGATTTTTATTATTTAGTTATAAAATGATAAATGGCATGTTGAATTGTTTGTTGTTACAGAAGAGGTCGTAGGACTGGATTAATAGCAAAGAGCTACTTCACCCTCACACACATTAGATAAATGTTAAACACCTAATAATAAATTATTTCTTTATTTAATATTTTATAATAAATTCCCTTTTAATTTGTAATTCATGTGAAAATTGTGAAATAAAAGAGAGGAAAATAATGTTGTGTTGAATGGACAAAATGACATATTATTTCTTGGTAAATGAAAATAATACCCTATTTAAATGAGTGTATTGAAAAATAATATAGCTTGACATAATGATATTTAAAATTAATTTAATGTGACCATGATGAGTACTTTATTTAATGAGTTAGTGAAAATATTATTGGGTTGAATTTAAATGATTCTTATTTAATTTGTTGTCATAAAAGTTTAAATTTAATTTTTATCTAATTTCTACATTTTACATAATTATATTGAGTACATAGCATCCTGAAGCTACAAATTAAATACTTAGATGATAATCATTTGCTAAAATTCAAGTTTTGTTATTCGAAGCAATAATATTTTGTTATTATATTATCTATGTAATAAAGATACTAAATATTTAAATTATCCTTTGTCAATGATGTAATTAAGTATAATATTCTTGTTATATTAGCATATAGTTTCTTAGAAGTATTTAATTTTGCAAGCTATCCAAACTTTCCATTATTTATTTATTTGTTGTTATTGATTGACGCACAATACATGTATATTACCTTGTGATGTGTTGATGCGGGAAAGAAATCTAAAATAATTAAATTATAATTATTGATATGAATTGTATTGGGAAATTTTTTGAATAACCATGATTCTTAACTAGATTTTAAAACAAACATAATCTTAATTAGATTGTAGATTAACATGTCGTCGAGCCAATTTATTAAGAGTGGTTTAAGTTTAATAACCATGATCCTTTATGAATTCCATAAATCAACCATGTGAAAAAAATATCAAATTTTGCTTTGTGTTTTTACAATTTATAATCAATTTTGACTAACTAAATTAAATTGTAAGATGATATAATATATAGAATATTAGTACATTTATAAGCACTCATTATGAATTAAACTATTATTTTTTAAAACTTAAAAAAATATTAAGAATATAAAAAACAAAATTGATAATATTATTAAATCCAATTAAATGGTTTGATTTTTAAATTAAATTATATAAAAGTTAACCTAAAATAAATAATTCAACTTAATATATGCAATGACAACTTGGATTCTTAACAAGAATATAACATAACTTTCAAAAAAATTTAAGATGATGATTTTTTTTTATATTGACATGATACCATATCAGATTAACTTAAGTTACTATACAACTTGAGCCATGGACTTCAAAGGTATAATAATTTTGTTATTTTTGTATATAATTTTTATTTAATTTTATGAAAAAATAATGCTTTCAAAATCAATCATTAACTCTAAAAAAATATTTATTTGAGATCATAATAACTCTATAGAAAATAAACAAAAATGAACCATAAATTTTATTTTTCACCCAATCCAATTTTGAAGAAGAGTAAAATAAAAAAATAATTATAAAAAATGATAAAAAAAAATAGATTTGATGGGTAAATCCATCAAATATATGAATTAGATAACCTGAATCAACATGTCAAACTCACAAATCAAGTAATACACACCATTGCAATTAATAACCTTTTTTTTTAATTATTATTTATTTAACCATATTATAACAAAAATAAACGATTTTAAATTTAAGCATCAAATCAATACCGAGATCTCTTTTTAAAATTAGGATAATCTTATAAAAAATAAAAAATAAAATTTTAAAATTTAATTTTTAATTAATTTAATATTAAAAAATAAAATAAAAAAATAATAATTTTTTTAAGTTAAACCAACAGACACGTGAACTTTCAAGAATTTAAATTTGCATATTTTAGGTTTTCTTCCATTTTTATTTTTAAGAAAACAATATTCCTGTATGTAAAAGGGAGGCTCAAAGATATATTAATTAATAGAAATGGATCCAAACAATTTTGAGTTTTTGACCTCCAAGAACAACCCATAATAGACACCAGATAATGTTTGGCATGTATGTACTAATTAAGATATTTTCTTATGAAATTATTTGGTGTATATGTAAATAATATAAAATATAATTTTTGTTTAGCTATTGTAATGATTTTTTTTTCTTACACGTGATAAATTTGTTTAAATTTTTACAAAAAAAAGTTAATCTAGTTAATCTAAATTAATATAAAAATAAAAAATTTATTATTATAATTTTAAAATTTAGCTATGTGCTGATTCAAGGTAAGATCTAGGTTACGGATCGACTATTGATTTGAATCAATATAAAGATAAAAATAGTTAATATCATTATTTTAAAACCTAATTTTAGAATCAACTAAAAGTAAAGCCAAAATCACTGAATGGGTTGTCCATTAACCCATACAATATAATGATAAAAATAATTATCATTACACCCTATCTAGGATGGGCCTGGAGTCAAGCTCAAATCATGAGTCAAGTTGACTATTGATCTAAGTCAACATAAAGATAAAAAAATTTATTATTATAGTTTTTAAACTTTAACTTGATAGTGAATTGAGATTAAGTATAGATCATGGATCAGATTGACCATTAACTCGAATTAATATAAAAATAAAATTAGTTATTATCATAATTTTAGAACTTGACTCGGGTTAATATAAGGATAAAACTGATTATTATCATAGTTTTAAAACTCTACTCGAAGTCAACCCAGGGATAGGCCTAGGTCACAAGTCAAGTTAATCATTGACCCGGGTTAACATAAGAATAAAAATAGTTAATATTATAATTTTAAAACTCTACTTAAGGAGTCAATCCAATGTCAAACTCGGGTTATGGACCATATTATCTATTGACTCGAGTTAATATAAAGATAAAAATAGTTATTTTCATTTTTTAAAAATTCAACTAATAGATTAACTCAGAACAAGGCTTAAGTCATAAGTCAGGATGGTTAACCTGAGTTTACCTAAAATAATATAAAAATAAAAATTATTATTATCATAATTTTAAAAACCGATTTGGGAATCAACTCAAAGTAAAGCCCGAATCATATGCCTGGAGGGTTAGCACCCAAATATATATATATTTCCTTTATTTTATTTTGGGTTGACAAAGTTGCAAGTTGACTTAAGTTTTTTAATCCGGTCAAATTATATTAATCTTTTCTATGTTTTAAGGGTGTTTGGGAATGTGAAGACAATTGTGTTTTTAAAGTGATTTTTGCTTAAAAAAATATCAAAATAATATTTTTTATTTTTAAAAATTTATTTATGATAATAGCATATTACAATGATCCAAAAATACTAAAAAAATTAATTTGAAGAAAAGAAATCAAATTTTGACAAAAAAGTAGGTTGGTTTCGGATGTTTGAGAATATGGTTGTAGTTACTTTCTAAAATGTTTTTCACTCGAAAATATATCAAAATAATTTTTTTTTTATTTTTTAAAAATTATTTTTAATATCAGCATATCAAAATAATAAGACACTAAAAAAAAATATTAATTTGAAGTAAAGAAACAAATAAAAAAATTTCAACTTTTTTCAAAAGATTTTTTAAAACATAAAAACAAACACTTATCCGAGTCTTGTCTAGTATCCACCAAATACAAAATAAAATAAATTATTCAGTTAAATCTAAAATACTTTAAATATAAAACAAAATAATTATTCATCTAGTATTATCTAATCAAATTTAATCCAAACTAATCAATGTTATCCAACTTATCAAATAGCATCTCACAAGCTAATGGTTCATGAACAACACAAAACAAAATTTATATATTTATTTGAGATTATAGTAATATTTATGATTTAAAATATTTTTGGTTTAAAAATATATAAAAATTATTTTTTTTTATTTTTAAAAAATTATTTTTAATATCATCTAAAAATATAAAAAATAATTTTAAATAAAAAAAATTAAAATTTTAAAAAATACAGTTTTATCCGGTTCCCAAACATGGCCTAATTGACCAAAAGCTCAAATTAGGTACAGGTGTGGGATGAACGAGTTGACTCAGTTTTGAGTTGGGCCTTTAGTCTTTAATTTTCGAAGAAGATGACCTCCTGGGGTCGACAACTCTTTGCTGGTTCTCACAGCAAGGACAAGTTTGTCCTTGCTAATACTGATGGGAATAGAAGAGTAAGCGACTCATTTTCTAATTTTCTGATTTCTGATCTGGGCTGGCTTCTTTTTATCATTTTTACTAATATCTAGTGAAGTGATTTCACATTCTGGGTTTTTTTAATCTCTTTTCGCTGGGTTATGCTTGCTGTTAGAAGGAACTTGTAGGTGCTGATTTGCTTATTTTTGGGCTTTAAAATTTCATTCTCACGGTGTTTAACTGGTGTTTATAATTGGTGCCGGAAGACAGAAAAAACATTTAAAGGGTGTAGGCATTGGTTGTTAATAAAACTGAATTTTCTTATTCAAAATTTAAAAGATGGTCCTGAGAGACTACATTAATTTGAGAGGAAAAGGTCTAAAAAAATTGAAATTTGTTCTTGGATATTTTAAGAATTTGAAGAAGCTACTCTTGTGGTAATTGGCATGGTCCAACACCCGTTCGGCCTCCCAATGAAAAAGAAGAGAAAAACTTCTAAGGGGAAAGCAAGATGAGAGTCTAATAGAAAGGTCCAATCCAAAGTAAATCAAGAAGGGAAAAAAAAAAAATGATGCAAAACAAGAGATGGGTTCTTATAAAAATCATTCACCATCGAAAATATGCTCCAGCTAGAAAAATTGGCAATCAAGAAACATATTAATGATGGGCCAGTTTGCAAACTCTTTACCTTTTTTGTGGGTTTTTTTGTTTCCGGTTTTGTGTTTATATGTTTCCTATTTTGCATAGGAATAGCTCTTAATTTTCAAATATAAAATCTTTTATCATAATTTTCGTATCACTAAAAATCCGCAAATACATAGTAGTTGCATTTATTCACCTTCCTGATTTCACACGGATTCCCTTCTTAAAACTTATATAAATAAATATTATTAATTACTGCGCTTCCAACGGATTTCCTTTATTTCTGATTGTTGAGTTGGGATTCCTTTCAGTGTTGAGATTGCTAAATTGGGTCTCTCTCATAAGTCTAAAGAAAAAAAAACTTTTTAGGATTTCTTGTCTCTCAAGTTTTGCTGTGCTGTGGGTTTAAGGTTAAGAATTTAGGGTTTTTATTGTGTTTTGGGGATATGGGTGTTGGAATGTCTAAGGTGGATAGGTTAGAGTTGGTGAGTCTTTGTAAAGAAAGGAAGGAATTGATTAAGGCTGCTGTTGATTGTCGTTATGAATTAATTTCAGCTCACATTATGTATGTGCAATCTTTTTTAGACATGGGGAATGCACTTCATCGATTTTTAGAAGAAGATTTAGAGATTATTTCTGATTTCTCTCGTGATTGCTCTGATGAGGATTCACATTTGAAATTTTCTTCCTCAGATTTGGAGTCAGAAACTGATTCTGTTAATGAACACTTGCATTTTTCAGGAGAGTCTTCTGGGCCAGAGAGAGATTTTCAAGCAGGGGCGAATTCAAGTGGACATATGGGAAATATGTCTTCTAGTGTTCCTGCTGGTTCTAGACATAGATACCCTGATCTTGACAATGACGATGTATATGTTCCAATTGTTGATATGAGGTATCCTCAAGAAAACAATAAAGTTCCTTTGGATGCTACAATGGATACTATGAAAAACAATGTCACATATGCTCCTAATGGAAATTGGGAATCTGCTAAAAATCCAATGGACTTTCCGTATTATTATGAGTTTTGGTCCCCTCCTGTCCGTGCTGCTAATCCTGAAGAAGAGAGCACTCCTGCTGCCACCTCTTCTCCTGAACCTGCAGGTTTTGCCTGGAGATTCAATCCATTTAACACCGAGGTTTATGATGTCTATAATCACTATAATTACTATTCTCAGGACAATATAATTGGTGACAGAGCTGAGAGTGATGATTCTGAAGTAAGAAAAACCAGGGAGAAAGAGGGGATCCCTGATTTGGAAGATGATACTGATCAAAGTATAGTGAGGAAAACAAGATACAAGAAGAAATCATCAGAGAAAGATACAAGTGGGGACACTGGTGCTGACCCAAAGAATGATGATCACGTACAGTCAGAACAAGAGAAGGATTCAAAAAACATGCCTGACACCGTTGAAGAAAATGCCATGGCATGTTCCAGCTCCCGTGGATTGATCAAAATAGAACAAGAGAAAGCAATGGAGGAAGGTGAGAGTTCAGACGAGGCCCAGTCATTCACCTGCAATGGTGAATGTCCCGAAACAGATATCCATAGTCCATGGGGTCTTCAGCAAGCAGTAAATGAAATCAAGAATGCATTTGAGACTTCTTTCAACTATGGTCAAGAGGTTTCCATATTGCTTGAGGCAGGCAAGCTGCCTTATCAGACTACGGGTGCCAAATTTAAAGGTACGAGTTGTTATGTTAGTTAGTCTTTTCATTTGTTCAGAATAATCCTGCATCAACTTTTGTCAAATTGACCGGATACCATTCCCATCAACTGTTTTACTTGATTTTTCATAGGTCCTGTGTTGGTTTCCTTTGATATGGGCATGTTGTGTTGTTCAATATTTCATCAAAATTTGTCTCTTGATTTTATTTGATGAAGTTAATTTCTGAAAGAAAAAGAAGCTTGACCTGTTTTATGATCACTTGTTGCCTTGCAGTATTTGCCTCTCAGCTTGTAAGTTTGGCAGTTCCTTTTGCAATGTCTTCACAGCACCCAGCTTTTGTTCACTCAAGTAGATCTGCTGCCAACAAAATGAAGTCAGCCAAAGTTGTGTGTGAAAATTATAAGGAAGTTGACAGAAAATCCGATCACCTGTCATCCACTTTGGAGAAGCTGCATATGTGGGAGAAGAAACTCTACGAGGAGGTTAAGGTATGGCATCTAAATTCTTCATAATTGGAAGTTTACAAGGAAAATTGTATATTTTCTTTTTCATTGGCTTGCAAAATATGAAGGCCAGTGTTTCTATAGGCCTAAGATAAGAACATCCTTAAACATTCACAAGTTTCGTACTCACTTCACCAATGCATTAGTACAGTATGAAAGTGTCCTGTCTGCGGAAAATGGCTCACTTAATCATTCAAAGAAAAGCTAAGATTTATTTGACAAAAAAATGTTTTTCTTCGATGATGCTTCAGTTTTTATTTATTTCAGCCAGTGTATTTTCCTTGTTTATGGTTCTGAGCCCTTAGTTTTTGGTCAATTTGTGTCCCCAACCAAATTATGCACAATGCATGAATTCTGAATATATATATTTACTCTATTTCTACCTCATAAACAAATATGTGATATTAACTTTTTGTTTCTTGGGTCATGTTTATCTACTGTGCACTGTGAAATTAATGCAATTTCCTTATGAGATTGATCCTTGTGCATGTGGATATCCTTAGTTGTAAGTGTCTTTGGGGTGGGATGATGGAAGATTCACCATTAGCAAATACTTATTTCTATTTTTTTTTAAAGTTTGAAATAGTTTTGGATTCTCAGGGGAAAAAAAGAGGCAAGTGCTAAGTAGTTTGACTAGGCATTTGTTTTTGGCCCATGGGACTGGCTCTAATTCTACTGTTTTCTGATTCAAAATATCCATCTTATGTGCTATTGTGTTGCTTTTATGAAAGGCTATTTAGGACTCGGCCAAAGCATCAAGTGTTCTCACAACATGGAAGTCAGGCATGAGTTGTTCCTTCAGTCTTAACGTTAATGTTTACTGTTACTTATGTAACGCGATGGTGGACATGAGTGCATTAGAAATCAAGTAAATAGCTTTTGAAATATTGTAAATGCTATATAAACCCATGAAAATGATGTATGCATTGAAGAACTTGTTCCTATCCTGCTTTGTGCCCAGTTAAATAATGTAATAGAATGTTTGTATTCTGCATCACTGCAATCATGTAAACTCAACAGACTATAAGTTTTATTATTCTTAAAAAATTCAGGGTCCCTGATGAATAGTTAGGATATTTCTGTTTATTTTGCCTTGCACTGCATTTTTTCATATACTTCCACTCATTGACAATTTTTGGTCGAACTATCTGAAAAATGGTCTGAAATCATATTGTTATTTTTGAAGTGGTTATGGCTGGGATTGAGTCTAATTTGTTTACCTGTTTCACTGATGTCAGCTTGAGGAAAAACTCCGTGTGTCTTATGATAAGGAGTGGAAGAGGTTAAAAAGGCTAGATTATAGAGGTGCTGAGTCCAGTCAGATTGATAGGACACAAGCTTCTGTCAAAAGTTTGCTTTCAAAAATTAAAGTTCCTGTCAGTGCGATTGAGGCAATATCGATCAGGATTCACAAAATAAGAGATGAAGAGCTGCAATCCCAAGTGAATGAATTGATTATCGGGTATTTCACTTGCTTTTCTGCTATAGTCATGCTAATCATAGCATTAGGTGAAGTTTTATTGGCGGCCTGATGAGTGTTGTCGTTTTAGACTTTTAAGGATGAAGTACTGACAGGGATTGCAAAGATTGTAATGAAGTGAAAAACAATTTTTTTCTAAATGGCTATATTTAACCAGGCATGGACTGTCTATAAATGCAGCTCAGAGCATAAAATGATTTTTCAATTTAATACGGTTTGCTTTATACCTTTGTGACTCATAATATAATGAATTCCTGTGCAGATTGTCAAGAATGTGGAAGCTCATAATCAAGTGCCACAAAAAGCAATTACAAGCAATTAAAAATGCTGAAATATATGTGCATATAGCTGGTATGCACACTCGCAAAGGTTCACGCTTAAAGGCTACTAAAAACCTAGAGAAAGAAACTTGGAAATGGGCTGCACGCTTTAGTCACTATATTAAAACCCAGAAAGCTTTTGTGTCATTGTTGAACAACTGGCTTCTGAGGTACATATCTGAGGAGTTGAAAACTCTACATGAAGCTGATCGATTGTCTCCAAACCGGATAGGAGCTCCTGCTATTTTCATTGTTTGTAATGATTGGCACAACACAATTCAGAATATTTCAGAAGATGGAGTGTACAAGGCCATTCATGGTTTTGCCTCAAGCTTACACCATTTACAGGAGAAGCGAGAAGAAGAACGCCGGCAGAGAATTAAAACTGAACAACTTTTGAAGGATTTAGAGGATCAATTTGAGAAAGATGTTATAGTCGCGATGCAGGAGATGTTAGATGAACAAAAAGTGACACATCAAGAAGCTATTAAACTAGCCAATGATGCTGCTTCAGATTGCTTGAGAATTAGTCTGCCTCCTGTTTTTGAGACTTTAGAGAGCTTCTGTCTGGAGAATTTGAAAGCTTATGAGAAAATCAGAATACCAAATGCAAGTACAAGCAGATAATGAGGTGAATTGCTTACCCTCTTCTTTTTATTATTAGTATTATTCTTTGAATGTCCAGATTGGATTGGTCTATGCAAAAAAGAAATCAAACGAAAAAAATAGTGGTTACCGAGTATAACCAGTTAGCAATTTCACTTCTCGTATACAAATCAAAATTTTGGGGAGTTATACCTAGTTTAAATGGGTGTTATATTCAGAAATATACAAGATGTTGAAAAAAAAATCAAAATCTCCTTGAAGTTCTAACATCTGTGGATGTCTCTGAATAGAAATGATAGATGTGGACAGTGAACTTCATTGATCTTTGACAGAAGCATTTCAAAATGGAATGTTGGTAAACCATGGTCAGTGGTATACGTAGTTGAGGCGTCTCTTTATTTTCTCTTGTATTGATATATTCTATTGAACGTATTATTAGTTCAGAACACAGCAAAGGGCAGTGACTACAGCCCCTAAGTTACTGATTCCTAGCATCCATCGTTCTGTAGAGGTTTCACATAAGTTGGGTTCAAAACCAAGTTTCGTATGACTTGAATGATAGGATTAGATTGAATATTCAAGCATTTCTGTTTATCAAATCATTGGAAACGAGTATTTTTGTGGAGCATCAAATTTTTGGTTATTGCATGTTAGTCTGGTATTGCCTCCTTACATCACGTTGAGGTTCTCATGGAATATTAGAGAAGCATGCATGTGATGTATGAGTAGTTAGAGGAGGACCGTTCCGGGGCTTAATCAGGAATGATTAGATTAATAGGATTGATCTTCCATGTCAGAAAGCTGTGGACAAGATTAGGCTTGTTTTGTGCTCCTATTGTGACCCTTCTGTTGGGAAAGAGTTATGGTGATTCTTACTGTGCTTGTTGTGCTGATGTTTCTGAAGACCTAATGGCTCCCACTTTGCTATTTGCTGCGACTTTGGCGTTTGGTCGCTGCAGAAATTCAACGTCATGGTTCGGGCTTTTTCGATCATATTTCATTCCGTTTTCTGGTCAAGGGCAACGCTGCCACCTCATTCTGTTGGGTTTCCTCTGTTTTGTTGCCCTCCCCAGCTTCGTCGGTGCACCTCTATGAACATGCGATATCTTGAGCTACCTTCAATGGAAATTAATCCGAGTAATTGATGAAAATCTCAAGAAAACAGGTGCAAGCTTTTTGTAAGCAAATAACATCAGTGGTGGTTGCGGTGTGCTCTAGCGTCCTTCTTCCGTTCTTCTTCCCCCAGTCATGAAGCCTCGAGTGCAACTCAGCAGCAGCAATCAAGAAATGAACGGCCTGGATTGGAGTCAAAATCTCAAGCACGCCTTTAATAGTTCTCTGCCGCAGATCATCAGCCACTTGCAAGATTTCCGTCAACTTTCTCTCTTTCGCTGCTAGAGTTGAGTCAACTCGCTCTTCCTCAACTTCACAAGCCGTCTCCGCACTCCTCAGCAACTCACTCACCTGAACACGTCTGCCTGGTGTCAAACATGGCTTACACTATCAGCTCATATCAAGATCCTTAAAATTATTTAAGATTTTGTGCTGGCACGAGTTCAATCACGTATTTATTTTATTCTTTATTTTCGGTTAAAACATTTTTTAAAAAGCTGAGAATTATTAAAAATTTGAGTTCGATATGCATCAAGAAGCATATTATATATTTTTTCAGAAAGACTTAATATATTAAATACATTATTTTCCATTAGAAGTCCGACGAGCCAGTTTCTTTGCTAATTCCAAGCCAGATCAAGTTTTTTTTTTTTACACCATGAATCTGTTTCCTTCTCTGAAAGCCCAAACACAGGGACAACCGTACAAGGATATTATCACAATTTCTCTTTCAGAGCTCTCAGCCGCAGATCAAATGCTAGTTGATCACATGAATCTGTTTCCAACTTCACATGTCTAGTCGGTCAGATGGGAAAAGGAATTCCCTGATTGCTTTTTGTCAGTTGGCATCCTCAGTCATGTGTTGCCCAGCCTAGCGTAGCTAGCTAGGCTTGGGCTGTAAAAAACATACCATTTATAATTTTCTTTTAGTGGATCTCTGCTGTCCTTTTTGTTTGCTTGTTTTTCTTTTCTCCTTGTAATTTTTGAAGAGAAAGTAGATCAAAAAAAAAAATATAAAGAAGCTGGAGGTACACTGTCATTTCACAAACATTCGTGCCAAAGTTAATTAAATTTTTTTATTAAATTAATATAATTTAAATTATTTCATTCACATGAATTGAAGTAAAATCAATTGGTTAGTGATAATTTCATTTAAATTAGTGTTTATTTGCATGGTTAAGAATTTTGAATAGTTTTATGGTATAAAAGAGCTGCTGTTGATTTTTTTTAAAATAAGAATGATTTATGGTATTTTAATCATTTAATTTATAAAAAATACTTAAAAAAGTTAATAATACATTCCATGATTATTACTAGTTTTTCTAGCAATAATTTAAACAATTATAATAAAATATAATATTGTCATGTTAAGGGGAGGTCTTTTTACCATGTGATTTATTTATTTGAAAATATAGGTTTAGTAGAAGAGTAATCTTTTAATATTTTTTTTTTACAATGTTAATATTTTTAATAAAATTAATTTTAATTGAGGTTGATAATTGCATTGCTTTATGTTAAAAACTGCCGCCCATATGGAATTGTTGTGCTCACTGACTGATACCAATATAGTCTTGATTAAATAATACAGTTAAGTGTTGCTTTATGATATAAATACTACATCGATTTATTCGTCACATTATTATCCTATATTTGGATTTTATTTTTTATTTTTTATTTTTTAAAAAAGGAAATCTTTAGTAAACATATGAGTTCCACGTAAATGATTCATCTAAAATCCAATATAAAAGAAATTGAAATGAAAATAGGCTTAGTAATATCAACTTTGAAAACTTAAAATAAAATCGTTCCTTTCATCTTAATTAAATTGATGGGGACATGCTCCCCAACTATATAACAAGTGATGAATGTAATGGTCCCGAACAATATTCTAGTTAAAAATTTGTTATGTGATTGTTTATGTGTTTGAAGTAATTACAGCCAATATTCATAATTAGAAAGATTTGTTGTATGATTGTTTATGTATTTGAAGCAATCATAGCCAAATAATTGTTTAATAATATTTAAAATACAATTTATTTTTAATGGGTCTCATTGAATTTTACATTTAAAATGTAGTGAAATTCAAAGCAATCCTTGAAGTTATTGAAATTATAGACATTTTACATAATAATAATAATAAAGAAAAAGAAAGTTGGTTGAAGGATGTTCCATAGCTGGGCCATCTCGATTTATATTTGAGTTTGATAATTTTATTTTTAAAATATATTTTATTTAATAATATATTATTTATATATTATTTTATTTTTAACAACAACATATTAAAGACACCGAAAATAATAAATTAATATTTTTAAGTCTAGTGTATTTTAAAATACACCTAAACATCATTTCAAATGCTAAAATAAAGAGTATCTAAATACATGTTTATTTTTCGAATTCAACTTCTTTTTTAAAGTGTTTTTAAAATTACTTCTTAATTGAATAAACATAAAATTGATGCTTTCTTAAATATTTTCAGTATTAAAAATAAATGTTTTTTAATAATTTTGTAATTAAAAAATAGTTTCATAAAAACATCATTGGAAGGTGGGTTTTTTTTTTTTTTGTTGTAGATAGAAAGTCAAGGACTTTAATTGACACAGTTATAATGGATAAATCATCACTTCTATTACTTACCTATTTTTATTATTATTGTTATTATAATTTTTTTTGTTATTATTATTATTTTGTTGATAAAAACATGATAAAAGGAAATCTAAGGTTTTCCACTTTTTTATTTTCTCGAGGTTCAGAAATTTGTCGACGGATTTTATTGTAGAAATGTACAGATTCCCACAAATGGTAATTTCATCGACGTGGACACTCTTAAATGCAACGGCCCATGGTTGTCAAATATACTAAGGACCGTCTGTTTTGAAGGCGACTGTTGTATTTTTCCCAACCTTAAAATGTACTATGTATGGTTATAAAATAAACATGTTTTTTGGTTCATGAGATCCACCGGTTTGACCTCAGTTTTTAATGAAACAGTTTTTACATATTTTCAAGTGATTTTCTTCTTCTTTTTTTCTTTAAGTTTGCTGGATTCAGGTAGCTAAGTTAATCCCAGGTTAATTATTTTAAAAGATATCGTTTTGGTTTTTCTATACAGAAGCTATAAAACGATGTTGTTGTAGATAAGTTTATAAAAAGAAAATTCCTTAAATTTGACTTCTTGTTTCTGCAGATGTTTTTCAATGGTCATAGGAGGATATGTTGCAGCCATTGAAAAATACATAAAATTATTTGAAAAATCACTTTCAACGTCGTTAACCAGCCATTGTCACCCCCTAATGACATCAATTTGCAGAGACTTTTCATCTTCTTTTGTGTAAGAGGACAAGCGGGCTAGTATATCTACATTTGAATTTCTTTCAGTGCTTGACAAGAAACAGAGAAGACCTTGACAGAGTCACATGATGGAGGATAAGGGAAACCATTAAGCGAGAAGAAAAGAAGAAACAAACAAAATAAGCCATTCGACTTGCAGTTTTGACCCGCCAAGCAATCTACTGTTTTAAGAAACAAGAGTTGCTGCTGACATCCATCATCTTCTTTTATTTTCTCGACCCAAATTCATACCTTTCTTGAAAACGACTCTCTCCCTCTCTCTTCTTTTTCTACACTTCCCGTGCCATTACTGTTTATCACTGGAGCAGTTAATATTAGCTTTCAATCAAGCACTGCTTTTTTCTTATCGTTTTCACCTTTTTGGTTTTGACTCGTCTGCATGTATCTTTTGGTGGTGGCTGTCACTTTTTTCTTGCTAACCTCTCTCAGCACTACTGCTTCTTTGCCTAAAACCTACCACTTTCACATGGGATTGTTCAGAGATAAAGGTGTGGTCTACAAGCCTGTGGAGAATGTTAATCTTGGCCCTGACAGTGATGAATTCTATCTGCAAGCCAATGTCAAAGGTTTTCATTTTCAATTCCATCTTCCATCATAGACTTCACTTTCGATTGCTAAGGTTCTTTTGCATATAGCCTTATCACAGAAACAATCAGGGTTCAAGATCAATATGGCAGGGTTAAGTTGATGAGTTTTTGCTGATGATATATTTGTAGACGAGTTTCAGTGTTCTAATCTCGAAGCATTGAGATTCATTCACCATTCTATCATTTTATAGGCAGGGAATCTTGAACCAACATATCATAACTATCAAGTCAACCATGCTTGGATGTTCTTTCTCGCAAAATTCTCGACTTTTTGTTAATTTGGTACCGAAACTAAATGTTTGGACAGAGATTCTATCAAGTCAGGTTGCTTGAACAGATCTTCCTGCAGTAGAGTACTTTTGTTTGTTTGATTTAAATAATGTTTACAATTTATTAATCCTGGAAACAATGATAGTAGAATCACTTACTCTAGACTAGTTTCGTTGTGCATCAGGTCCTTTCTTCATCATTTAATTAAAACCATATTTACCAAAAGCAGAAACTTCAAGGCAAGCTATTGAAGTCTTGCTTAGCATATATGCCCTTCTGCATATGCCTATACTTGCCTGAATCTATTTGTTGCAGACATATATATGCTAATGTGTGCATATATATGCTAAAATTTGCGTCTGTTTCATAAGCTCCTCGCATGGCTGGATTTCTTGTCAAGATTTTCGCCTGGTTTCTCGAGTCGCGGATTTTTGGAACATTCCTTCTGTACATTTTGAAGAGAAACAATCTGATTCACAAGGTCTGTCTTTCCCATTTTTTTCATCGTGGTTTTTTTTTTAGTTGTAGCTCAGTTCCTAATTTCGTTCATCTTATGAATGACCAATCATGCAATTACTAATTTGTTACTTTTCCTTCCTAGTTAATTGTCAACATCTTCTTTCACTTTTGCATTTCAAGTTAATTGTCGGCATCTTCTTTCCCTTTTGCATCAAAATTCTACTAATCAGTGAATATAATCAAAACCATATCAAGAAACATCACCTGTAGTTTTCTGAGTCATCTTTAAGGCTTAAACTACCCTAGGGTCCATATATCCCTAATTGTACATGGTAGACTGGTAGTCGTTACAGGAGTAACTAGGTTACGTGCATTTGCTCTGCCTTGGCGTCAGAGCCTTAAAACTTGTTTACACTTGTCACCCCACATGCCCCAATCCATCTACAGCGACCTTTTTCGTAACTTCATTTCAAAGCTCTCTCTCTTTCCTCATCAAACTTAAATCGCAGAAGCATGTACTTCAAACTTTGTAATAATATTACCTTAAATGAAATTAAAACAAACCGATTATGATCCATTATAAGCTCCTAACGTGAAATAATTAACCACCAACACATATTATTCTGTGTCTCTTTGTTGGGGAATGGTACAAAAGAGTAATGTGCGAGTCTTAATGGTTGTATTTTTGTCTCAAAATACAGCCAGTCTATGTGAAAAAAAACCTGCGCTGTCTCATTCAATCTAGTTGTCAAGAGTTCCACTGGATACTAGGCAGTAGCTTTACTGTTTCCTTATTATTATTCATAGGATCCGGTCCTCTCGAATCTACTGCCCATCAGAAGAAATTTACAAGACATAATTAACTAATCATATTTTTTTGTAAAATATACAGAATGCGTGCATAATTCATTGAAATTTATTGATGCAGAATTATATTTTCTTTTGGTTTTAGAATAATTTAGAGTTAGATATTGGATTTCAAAGGGTTTTTGTTTTCAGTTAGAAATCTCACTTGCGAATGTTCTAACGAGGATTCAGATATGAGCGCTCTTTTCATGCAGAATAATGAAAGCTTCCCGGTAGATATATATAGAAATGGTCTGAATTCATGAACCATAATTCGACATCCATGTCACCTGGGGTTTCAAAAATGAAAGTCAAAATCAAACTGGCATGAACAGATATTCTATGTATACTCATCTTGCAAGCTGTTCCTATGTATTTTAGAATCACATTTTAAGGCCTCATTTTGCCTTCATAGCAAGGACAAGCATTTATCTCACATTGAATTTTGATATTCTATGTCAAATACTCGTGAATGCTTTCAACTCTTGCAGCTAGTTACAAATGCAGAACTGAAGGAATCGCCTGTGTACGTCCCTATGCATCCATTTGAAGGTAGGTTCACTACCTTTAAGTTTCTAACTCTTATAGTATCTTTGATTCTGTTCACAAGCTCTAAATTGGTTATAGTTACTGGAGAGTTAGCATTGATTACGTCTTGAAGAGGAAATTCTGCTCGTGCAATATTTGAAACAATTAAAACATTGTCAGCCATTTGTATTTCTTCCATTGGAGTTCCATGAGAAAGATTTTGATTTGAGTTCATCACTGCAGAGCTCAAAGAACAAGAAGTCAAGCACATAGATTCTGGTCTATCACCGTCTGAGCAAGGTCAGCAGGCAATTAACTGTCTGCCTCTACCTTCAGAGGAAATTGTAAATGGATTGAAGCCATCTTTCCGTCGCTGGACAATAATGGATTATTCTAAAGCCTATAACTCAGGAGAAATAACTCCATGCATGGTACATCATTCCTTAGCCATTTCTATCATGAAATGCTCTTTTCCATTTTTGTTTGAGGTTTCAAATGTAAGCGCTGTAACTTGCGCATACATTTGAAACCTTAAAGGTCTAATTACATGATTCAAAGAATTTCTTTCAGTCTCTTTTCTTGTTGCAGACAAGTTTGTCATGTAACTTATATCAATGCAGTTTATACTGCAGTTTTCCATAAGTTCTTGATGCTTTTCCCCCCTTAGCACAGGTTGCAGAACAATTAGTAGCTGCCATCCGTGAATCTTCCAGTCCTCCAATGGACATGGCATTTTTTATTAATTATTATGCTGAAGATATTTTAAGGCAGGCTAAAGAATCAACTCTTCGGTATGAAAGAGGTAGTCTTAATTGAAACTCATGAGTAAATCTTTGCATATGAGAATATAGCAGTCTCATTCAATCCTCTTTTCATCAAGAGTGCACTGTTTATCTCTTGAAAAGCGTTTGGTCTGAATTTATTGATGGTCTCATTCTTCTATTTCACTAGTTTATATTAGTTGCTTTGAGCATGCTCTGAAACTCCTACTTGTTCTGTTTCATTCCAGGCGAGCCAATATCAGCTCTAGATGGAGTTCCAATTGCAATAAAGGATGAAATAGACTGTAGCCCTTATCCGACAACAGGTACTTGAAGAAATTATGAGTGAAAGAGTTTCACTTTTCGTATCTTTACAAGCAGAGTTACACACATATATAAAGAGAAATCTTTAGCCAGCTATTGTTACAATCCTTCTAGGATAGAAATCCTATCAGCAGCAGGATATATATATATCAGGTCTTTGACTTATGATCACACACGAATTATCCTTAACTTATAACTGCCACCACAGTTTCAGGAACCGATGAGAGTGTACAAGCACAGGACACAAGATATTTGCAATATACTTCATCAATGACCATTTTGTTTTATTCGAAAAATTGCTGCACTTGATTCTTGTGCTTATAAATACTCTTTCTGTGTGTTGTATTGATGACGTAAATTGAATTTTCTAGGTGGGACAAAGTGGTTGCACAAATTCAGATCTTGTAAAGGTGATGCTTGCTGTGTTATGCGTCTCAGATCATGTGGTGCTGTAATTATTGGAAAAACCAATATGCATGAGCTTGGAGCTGGAACAAGTGGAATAAATCCTCACTATGGGTAAGACTAGTCTTCCTTTCTCCACTGATAAATTTGAATAATATCCTACTTGAAACGTTGAAACTCGTAACCCAAATACATTACGATCTCTTGTTTCTTGTAACGTCATAAATAAATTATACTTCTATGTTTAACGCATCTGAATTTTTAATAAAGACAATGATGGCATTTCCACAATTATGAATGTTGTAGGGCTACTAGAAATCCATACAATCCTGGCATGATCTCTGGAGGTTCATCTAGTGGATCAGCTGCTGTGGTAGCTGCAGGACTTTGCCCTGTTGCCCTTGGTGTTGATGGGGGAGGTAATTTAAATCCATCCTTAACTGGAAAACTCTATTGTTATCAAGCTGAGTTGAAGCATTCTCACTAAACGGTAATCTTTCTTTGGTTGTATATGTAGATTAACTGAATACAGTAGCTAATCATGGAAAAAGAATAACACCTGCAATTGTCATTTCCCAGTTTATGAAGTCCATTGCCATGTCAATAGGCAGACACTAACTTCATTCTTGTTTTAACTTCCCTGCGAGTATTTTCTGTAATTCCTTGAGCTAAGAAAATCAATCTTTCTTTTCTGCAACAATCCAAGATTTCCTATGCATTTAAAATATTTCTTAAGTTAATAAATTTATGTTTGATGGAAGGTTCTGACGTTTATGCCAGAAAATTCTTCAAAATTGTTACTTATAGTACCATGTATCATGTCAACAATCTCTAAATAAACACATCTTTCATCATAATGTAACTAGGATCCGTGAGAATGCCTGCAGCTCTTTGTGGTATTGTTGGTTTCAAACCAACTTTCGGGCGTGTATCTCACTCTGGGTGAGAACTCATTTCTATCTTGATTTTATTTCATAAATCTTTGGATTTCTCAATGTAGATGAGTTTTCGATGTTGTGAAGATAAATTATCCATTTTTTCAGTGTTCTTCCTCTGAACTGGACAGTTGGGATGGTAGGAGTATTAGCAGGCACGATAGAGGATGCATTTATAGTGTCAGTGTCCTCTCTTAATTTGAACTTTTTATCTGAGTTCTAAGTGTCTGTTTGGATGCCATTTTATGATTTTCATGTAGAGTATGAAGTATCTTTTTTCTTCTTTTTTTTCCAGTTATGCAGCTATAAATGGCCCACTTCCTTCCCATGAAACCTCTGCTATACCGCTGGTAAGAAACTGCTCCGCAGTTTTCTTTACAGTTTAAAATCCTACCCTCTGGGAACTCTTTGAAAATGGCCTTGTAGACTATTTCAGAGTAACATCTGAAAAAAGACAATCTTTTCTTTCTTTGTTTCTGAAACTATCAGCCAAAGGTATACTTCCCACTGCTGCAATCAACAAATTCAGTGTCAAACGTCATATTGGCAAGATATGGGAAGGTTAGCGGATTTCTCAACCTTGGATTCGCTATATGTTGTTGTCTCAAGTTACTTTACATGCACCGGATCATTCTTCTGATTCCTTTCTTTTATTCTTTAATCGCTAAACGGGTCCCTTAGTGGTTTAGTGATTGCGGTGATGACATTAGAACATGCTGTTCCCAAGCATTGCACCAGATTTCTGAGAAGTTTGGGTGGAAGGTATGGCAATATAATATAAATATTTTACAAATTTTTATGAAAATAAATACATTTTCTCGAATAGTTTGTTGTTATCGTAAAGAAACTTGTTTACGTTATTTTCAAGGAAGCTCTTCATTAGTTTCGTCCCTGACCACTCTATGCTAATGCTTTATGGCCTCTTACATGCAAGACTGTAGATGTTACCATACCAGACATAGAATCAATGCGCCTCGCACATTACTTAACAATCGGATCTGAGTGCACTGCTGCACTTAGTTCTTATCTAGAGAAGTTGTATGTTACCTCTGGCTAACACATTTTCATCCTTCTTTTCAATATAACATTTTAAAATATGGATGGTGATATTCTGTGCTCTTGAAATAGGGATAATGCGGAATTGGGATGGGATTTAAGGGTAGCCCTTTGTGTATATGGTTCTTTCAGTGGTGAAGAGTACATAAAGGCTCAGAAACTCAGGTGCGTTACAGCCTAAATTTATTTAATTTCTTTTATGCTTACAATTGAAATTAAATTTGATGGTAAATCAAATGCCAGCTTCCTGTATCAGTAAATTCTGAGAATCTATCTTCAAATGCTGCAATAACATCATGATAAGCCTTCAAACGCTGCATTTTATATTAAACTTTCTGGTATTTATCTTGTGGTGACTTCTTGTTTCAAATACTCCATTACTGAAGCTTTGTGTTAAGTACATATCAATGGTAAGATTTTCTGTTCCACCCCAAATCTACACAGTACCTCTAGCGCTATTAGTTATCTATGAAAAAGTAATTGTACTGTTTAGCTGGCCAGTGTTTCATTATGGTAAAGTGTTAAAGTCCTAAACACAGGTTAGTATATTCAGTTCTAGCAGCAGCGGGTTCATGCAAAAGTTGTTGAAGCTTAGGGCTATTTCCCTTCAAACCCCTGCTCGTATTCTGTAGTGAATTCTAGTATTATGTCATAATATACTTTTGTGTAGATTCTATCGATGTGTTCACAAGTCACTTTCATTGATTCTGACTTCGAGCTCATCTTTAAACTTCAATAAGCCAATCACTTGTCATCAGCATTTTGAGTCATCATCGAATACAGATGACTTCTCAGTGGAGTTTACTTGTTAGTTATTAGCCAGTCACTTACCATTTTGACTCCTACATAATTATTCATTTGGTTGTCCTCATTTCATGAGTGCGTGAATGATACAAGATTCTATGTATTTGCAGGAGCCGGCAGATGCAATTTCACAGGAATATATTTACAAAAGCAGATGTCATTGTCACACCGACAGTAGGGTATTGTTTTCTCCTTTTATCTTCTTCTTGTTCTATACTGTAAAGCATCTTGGATGTGTGAAAAAGTGAAGTTTGACATCAAAATGCTCTTCCATCTTCCGATGCTTAATGTTCATCTGTTCTAAAAAACAGCGTAACTGCATACCCAATTTTCGATGATGCTCTCAAGACTGGTGAGCTGGACTACATTAATGGAGGTACGGAGTTCAGGACATAGCAAGATTTTAACAGAAAATGTATCAAATTGCTTTACTGTACATGAAAGTAGCCAAATACAAATACAATTGAATAATCCCTCAAACCTTTTTCATTGTTGCAGCTGCACTAGTTCGGTATCAGATAGCAGGAAATTTTCTGGGATTGCCAGCAGTTACCGTTCCAGTAATGATCTTTATCGCTGTCTCGTTATCATCGGTATCAGTTTTCTTATGCTTGCCTGAATTATGTATGACAGGTTGGATATGACAAAAATGGGTTGCCTATAGGCCTCCAATTTATCGGAAGGCCATGGTCAGAACCAACATTGATCCATGTAGCATATGCTATGCAGGTATATTATCAGGTTCTGAGATTTAGATTTTTGTATTACTTCTCTCTTTGGCTTTCAATTTGAATCTTTAAGTTTCGTATTAAAATGTTCACAAGCTTAACAGTGCAAGTATTCACAAATTTAGCCACATGCATGATATGCTATTCCTACTTTTTTTCCAATCCAGAGAAGTATTTCCAAATAGCATTTAAATTTATTAATTAATCCATGGAGGAATCTTTCTTGATCACTTGTACAATTGCATCTACCCCTTGCAATGCTCCTGTGAGAAATGTTTTGAATGTTGAAGATCTTTTTATACGAGGCTCATGCTCTTTATTCATAGAACTGATGTATCAAGTATTTTTGGTTTCAGAGTCTCTGCGTTTCAAAGTACAGAAAACCACAGGTTTTCTATGATTTGCTCAAGAAAGATTAAGCGGAGGAGGAAGCCTCATTAAATGGAGGAGGGTCTTCAATTCTCAACGTGCTACTGCACCCTATCGTTTCTTCTTTATGTTTGTGAGATGTCAGAAACATTTTGGTGTGGATTACCTGTTTATCCATAGCAATTAGTCGCTGGTTATTCACATTCAAACCATGTATTTTACTTTTTTAAATTAAAAAAAAAACCCATGCTGTTACATATTGATCATATTAGTATATAAAAGCAATCAAGAAAACTAAACGTCGTCTTTTTTTCACCTCTCCAAAACAGCCAAACCGCACAAATCATTTTGTTCTCTTTCCGTTACAAATTCTCTATTGGATTGTTGCTTTCGTCTTTATAACCAACCAAACTAGTGTGAGAAGCCACGAGACCTCGTCAGTTCAAGAGGAATACATCCATATGTGTCGAAGTTTCTAATATGCGCGTGGAGGCAAACCCATACACGCGAACACTTGCACACGGGGATAGGGATGTGCAATGTATAAACGTATGAATCTTTAAGGCACCAAATGATAACGGGAAGAACATTATTTCTTATGTAAATATATATTTTTCCATGGATGATCTGTTTGTGCAAGAGGTGATACGTATATAAATACAACTGCAGATTCAAAAGAAGGAATCTGCATTTTTTTTATGACAAGAATGAATGCTTTACAATGGAAAACTTATTACCTAGTGGATTCCTTAAATGTCATTTTTAACATATACTAGTTTTCATTTCGAGCCCTACTCTGACCTCTGGGGTAAAACTTTCCAAACCCACTTCGGGTTTTTTCAGAAACAAAGCTGGAGTTCAATGATAATGACAACTCCCTATCACCGCCATTCTTTAATCTTAAAGCACCTCCAGTGACTTCGATAGCCTCGGATTCTCTACCTGAAGATTGATTTCCAAGATCTAATCTCCACCGTTCACCATTCTCATGATCCTTTGATTCTTCACTACTGACATCTGATGATTTATCAGAATCAAAAAGGTCTTCCAAAGTTGCAAGAGATTTCAATTGAAGACCAAGAGAAGATATGGTTTTCTGGCACTCGGCGAGTTTACTTGCAGCAACAGCTAGTTCTTTCTCCTGCGCCATGAAACAGAAGATACGAATACCAAATTAAGAAGGCAGGTTTTTTAGCAAATTACCCCTGTTCTTTAACCCAGTTATGTTTAACAGATCATGTCATGATTAGCGTGCATCCAGATATACAAAGATTTTAAGTATCTCATATCAATCATAACTGTGACACCAATTTGTTTTTACAAGACCGAATATGATTCTGACAAAGGATATCGTTGAAAAATTCATGAAAGGAAATCTGAAAGTGGCTTTGAAACCTTTTTTGTTCTTATAAGGGTAAAAGTGCACGTTTTAATGGAAATTAATCCAAAAGCATGATAAAGAAAATATTCTAATCTCTTCAAGATAAAGTTTCTAATAATTTAATCAAGTGGCTAACTAAAAGAAAATTATTGAAAAGAACAAACGTGCAACAGGGACCATTTGCGTTTGTAGAGCATTTGCAATATGGAAGTTAATTTTAAATGGACAATGAGTATAAGATATTAGATGGAGAGACTTGAGTTTGCAAAATTTAAGTTAAATGGCTTGTAAACCGGCAGGCAAGAGGGAATATCAACAATGGTATTACTAGTCTAAACATTCCCTCTCATGAGACTTTGAAATTTAAAAATAAATAAATACCAGTTGAATTATCCTAGAATGCAGATCACTATGAAAAGAATTCAGGACATTTTTATTCCAGAAAAGTACAGTGACGGTAGGTTTATTTATCAATTAAATTCCATAATTTGGGTTTTGCATATAGCAACGCAGGGAAAAGGTGAGTTTGAATCTTCATTTTATAGCCTTGTATTTTTCACAATACGTTTGCCATTCTGTCAAACATTGACTTTAAAAGGTCAAATAACAAACAAGCAATAAAAATTTGTGAATTCACAAAATCAATGTTTCAAAGAAATCTGTTCTCTGTTCTAATTGGTGAGCTCACACCACAATTTAGTTGACTTGGCTTGTTATAAGTTGTTGTAACAGAGTATTGCAGCCAAGATGAAAAATGCAAGGAGATCAATGTATTGCAGTTTAAGGCACCAAAGACCATGCAAGTGGACTCAATTAAAATTAAATGCAGCATTTATGAATTTGAAATGGGAATAGATATCGAGCTTCAAGTGAGTCTTAAGATACTGACCTGTGTTATCTTCAACTCTTCGTTAAAGCTGGCAATACGCTTGCGCTCTATCTCATGTTGGAGCTCAACTTCACATTTCATTTTTGAGAGCTCATCCTCCAACTCCTGGCTCTTTGCAGCATTTTCAGCTGACAAAGCACGCTCCTTCTCAACCTCGGCATCTAACGAAACAATTTTAGAAAGCAAGGTTTTGATCTCAGCTTCAGCAATTCTGAGTTGTGATTCTGTCTCTTTTCTCCTTGAATCAGATCGCTTTATCTCTTCCTCTCTAGCTTGTCTTGATTCATTTGCAAGAGTCAACAGACCTTGCAGCTCCCCAATCTTTGCATCTGCTTCCTTCAGCTGACTCCTTAATGTCTCAAGCTGCCTCTGGCATTCAGTCAAGGCCATTTCTGATTTAAATTTTTCTTCTTCCATCTTATCCAACTTCTCCTCCAGTTCAGTAGTCCTGTTAATCATGCATTCAAGTTCTTCTTTCAATGGGTTTCCACTACCATTTCCTTTATCTGATACAGGTCCTGCCTCAAGGTAAGAAATTCCACTTTCTGTATCTGGCAAAGCTGCAAGTCTTTCCATTTCCAGAAAATCATCCATGAGATTAATTTCTAAAGAAGGGACCATTACGTTTCTTCCAATAGGCTTCTGATTCTTGGATTGATCAAGTTCGATAGCATGAGCACATGCCCATGAGTCAGAGCAAATTTGTTCACATTCATTCATTTCCAAGCCGCTCCTCTTGCATGAATCGCTTTCAACTGCCAGTAGCCTCTCCCCATTATCAGATTGGCTGTCTGTGAAAGACTCGGCACAAATTGAAGAGGCTGTTAAAGATTTATGATCATTAGCAGCTGATGCTTTACGAGCCATGGCTTTCAACTTGCGACACTCGGCTTCAAGTTTAGCAAGCTTCTTTAAACTTTCCAGTTGTAGTTTGCTTGCTGTTTCAGCAGCCTGGGTGCTCAAGTCCCTCTCCAAAATTCTAACCTGTATCTCCTCAGCTCGAGAAAAGAGCTCATGCTTAAGGGACAAATTCTCTTTCTCTACAGCATTAAGCTTTTGCCATAACTCAGAATCAGCTGACACAGTGGCATCACTTTTTGCAGTTTGAAGACGAGCCTGGAGCTCAATGAGCTGAGCCTCAAGCTCAGACTTTGTTGATTCCCATTCGCAAATTTTCTTGGTAACAGCTTCATTGATCCTTCTCTCTTGCTCTTCTCTTGATTGTCTTAGCTGCCTCACACATTCCTTAAGTGCTGCATCCAGATGGGAAACTCTATCTTCAAGTCCAGAGTTCTTCTTAGTAGCAGCCTCGATTTGTTTCTTTAAAGCTGACAGTTCTTTTTCAGCTTTCTCCCACCCTAGAATTTGAGGCAGAAAAATTAATAATAGCTGATAATTCAGATATTTGAAGAAGGTTACAGATCACATCCTCATTAGAATAAGAAAAGGGACGGTGTTAGGGGAAAAAAAGAGGTTTGTGGACAATCTCTAAAAAATGCCATGGATTGTTTTCTTTTACTTTTTTTTTTTGTTTTTCTTTAATGGCCGGGTTACACCATAGAGAAAAGCCCTCCTTCAGCTTTAGTCCCTCCCTGCTCATATACCTATATCATGGGAGGGATTTAACAGGTATCTCGAAACAACACTAGTTTTACAAACTAGGGTGGCCTTGATATATATTTTTTATTTTATTTTTTATTTAACAAGTTTGTATTCTTCTAATTTAGAAGAAACCAAACACTAGTTCAACCTTGAATGAGAGCAGGAAAAAAAATGGAATAATTACCTGAAACTGCTTCTTCTGCAACTTTGGCATGCTGCTTTACCAACTCTTCTTTGGCACTAAGGTTCAGGAGAGCAGCAGATAGTTTATCTGTTAAGGTCCTCACATTGTCTCTAATGTCTTCATCAGTAAGTACAGCTTCAGATGTAACTTCTGGTGATTGAGGATTATGAGTTGTATATACCTTTGTCAAGAAGAAAGAAAGAAAAATCAGAATATCTCCAACATCAATCAAAACAGGGACACAATTATGTAATGGAGAATCAATAAGACAATAAGATATTCAATTCTCAGTTTCAAAAGCTTACCAGAGTTTTTATATATATACAGGAAAAGGAGTAGGCATCCTTTCAATAAGAATAGGAATTCCATCCTACTAACAGGACCTAAAAATGAAACTAAATTGATTGTAGAGAGTTAAACTGCAGGTGTCAGCCTAATACATTAAGATTCACAGAACAAAAATCATCATCCCTGATCCATGTAGAACCAGGATGGTGAAGAGACTAAGTGGGTGATGTAATACGAAGATTCAAGCCAAGCGGAATTCTATTGATTAAGATTCAAAAAGTATAGGTATCCTCCATAGACAACTGCTCAAGGGATCTTAAACAGCCATTTCACCTTATGAATGGAAAGGCACATTTTTACAATATGGATATGGTCCCACATGAAACTGCTGTTAATTTTAATTGTGCTTCTTCTTCTTCCACTGAAACTGAATGGATGATGCATGCCTTGCAGAGCAGATGCAATCCATACTAAGCATATTTCAGATTGAAGAAATGTTTTTGGTAAGTATGAAATTATTTTTAGCTATGTCCAAGAAGTTTCAAGTCAAGTAGGAGCTTGCCCCAGCAGCATCCGAGAATCCGTACAGCAAGTATTAAACCGTGTTCAATCTTCACATCACAATGAGGAGTATCAGACAGCAACACTACAAGTCAAGAGCCTGAGCAACTAGCAGAAATTAAAGAAGATGCTGACGAAACTTTATGAAAGAGATGGGATTGTTGGAAATGCAAAGAGTTCAAGGAATTGAATTCACTATCCACGCTTTACTCACTCTATCAAGGAGAAGATGGACTCAGGCCTAGGCCATAGATTCATACCAGTCAATTTAGAAATGCTCATTTATATCTGAATTGCTTCAGCCAGCCTCCAGAATTAAAGCTGTAGGAAAAAATGCTCATAATTTTTTGCAGTAATATTCTGTCGGAAGGCAAAACCAAACAAGCACTTCAAGAAAGCAACACCTTAACGGCCTAACAAGACAATACAAAATAAGAAGGATGCTGCTTGGAGGTGCGGGAAGGAACTATCCTAGGATAAGAACAGCAGGATTCGTTTGGGAAATTTCTTTTGAGTATTTTTTGTGAACTCGGATAGATGAGCAAAGGACATAATTTGAGACCAATCTTAAGAGTAACAGGACATGACAAATACGGCACAAAAAGAAAATCCTAAATTGGGAAAATCCATTCCATTATCCAAAGATCACTCCCATTTGCTCCTCTTTCTCTCTTTTTTTCAATTAACAAAGAGGTTCAAGGGGTAGAATGTGCAAGAAACTCAAAACCCAAAATTGAACCAACCTGATCATCAGAGAATCTTTCAGAATGAGAAGAGATGGATCCTGAACTCTCTGTCTCCCCAGGACTCCTCTCTGAAGACTTCCTTCTCCATAACCAACTCCTCCTGTCCATCTCCAATGCCACCAAAGCATCACTATCCCCTCTCACAAAAATCCATTATTTTCATTGTGTAGCTACAAATAAACACAAACACCCAGCATCATTAAAGAAAAAACTAACAATCTTAATCCTAAGATTTGACCACCAAACCAAGTGTCTGCTTTGAAAACTCAGTAGTTCAAGGATACCAAACAATGTAAGCAAGCAAACGGAAGAGGTCAAATCCAACTGTTACAAACAAATAAAAAACGAGTAAACTTTTTGGTAAAATCTTAACTTTGCTTTGAATTCACTCTCCACAACCAATCTAAAAACAACGTCTCAACTTTTTGCAGAAAATCATGTTCATCCAAAGATGGATATTATTGATATCCCTTTAAAGTTTGGTTCTTTATCTATCAGCAATTACTTGAGACATAAAGTTTTGAACAACTCATCAACTGGGCACCTACCAAATCCCCAAGTTTTACGCCATGAAATGAGTGTCATGGAAATAAAGAAGAAAGCCGTAGATGGATAGAGAGAGAATCAGAGAGGACCGCATGAGAAAAGCTCTACACTGCCTAGTAGCCAATAATAGCCCCATTTCTCTTCTACAAAAATATTTATTTAACAAAATTAATATATTTTTAAATTATTTTAATGTATTAATATTAAAAATAATTTTTTTAAAATAAAAAAATTATTAATATATATTTTAACCCATAAAATTATTTAAAAAATAATTATAATTAGATTTATAGACAAGCAGTAGAATATCTTCTTCTTTTTTCATGCAAGGTCACTTCTGAAAATACTTAAAGTTTTTTAAAATTATTTTTTTATATTTTTAAATAGTTATAATATAATAATATTAAAAATAATTTTTAAAAATAAAAAATAGTATTTAATATATTTTTATAAAAAAATATTTTAAAACATAAACAAATAATAGGTAGGACAATAATACTTTATCTCAAAAAATCAAAAAATCAAGAAGTTTAAATTATTAAACTATTAAAGCAACTAAAAATCATGAGGGCGGTTTAACGGTTTAATATATTATTTTAATTATTTTATATTAATATTTTTTTTATATTAATTTTGATTCTTCGTAATTAATGTTAACTGTATAACATAGATGCGGGTTCAACTTTGTATCTTCATTTGTGTTTTTTTTTAAAAAAAATGCAATTAAACTTTTTGTTATGTTTCCTGTATTTTTTAAATTTTATTATTTAATATAAAAATTTTATTAAATTTTATTATTAAGTATTAGGTTAAAGGTTAATCAATTTTAATATATTTTATCATGTAATATAATATAATAATTCGACTCGATAAAATTTATAACCCAATTCATAATTTAGTAAAGTGATTAAGTATTAAGTAAACAATCTAGTCAGTTTTTCAATTTTAAAGTATTATATTAAATTTAAAAATAGTACCAAAACAATCTTGACCGTCTAAATATTATTTTTTTACCATCCAGATTTTGGGTCCATGCGATAAACCAGGGAGTTTCTATAAAAACAAAGAAGGGAGATTTTTTGGATAAAATATTGACCAATGAAAAAAAGTTGAGTAACAAAGAAAACAAACTGTGCAGGAAGATCTGAGGAATGTCGGCATAAAATGCAGGTGTTTAAATTGGGAGATTTTTTGTTTTTTTTTTGTGATATTTTGAGAATATCTTCTTTTCAAGATTTTGATATTTTTGTTTTCTTTATTCTATTAATTAACGAGAACTAGTAAAAAAAAGTAGTCTAGGGCCAGCTGGAAGACTTCAGATATTGTCCTACGTTAATTTTTTGATAGTAATAGACGAAAGGAAAAAAAAAAAGTGAAATTAATTATTGTATTTCTTTAATAGACTTTTTGACTTGATTATTCTAATAAAAAATGCCTTTATTCCCTCCAATTGTTGTTGGGATGTGAGTGCCCACTGTTTTTTCTTGTTAATGTAGGTATTTTGATGCGGATATTAATTAATTTTATGAGTTATAAAGTTTATAGTTATATAAATTTTTAATAGTATAGAAATTTATGATATTTAAATTGAAAATTTTTAAAAAATAAATTCAAAATCTGACAAATTAAACTACACCTTTTATGATTAGTGCCCATTATTTTTTTAATTTAATATGAGTATCTTAACTAGGTTGTATATATTTTAACTAATTTTACGGATTATAAAATTAATAAGTTTTTAATAATTTTAATATTTATAAAATTTAAATTAAATAAATTCAAAACTTGATAAATTAAATTATATCTCTGGGAAGATTAGTGCCCTTTATTTTTTTTATTTATTCCTGATTGCATGTCATTTTATCGTTTTTTTTCCCATGCTTCCTCGAATAAAAAGAAAAGAAAAGGAAAAACAATATTAATTTTGGAAATATTTTGTCTTCAAGGTTGAGATTATTGCTTCTTCCTTTTCCTCGATCGTGTGTAATTATTGGTTGCAAAGCATCATGTAAGCAAACTGTATTGTATCATGCATGCATGATATCGTACTATAATGTGGTGTTAGTAGCATGTATTGATCATTTGAAGTTATAAAGAACGAATAATTAGAAGTTTTCTTCTCTATCTCTCTCTTTTTTTCTTGATCGAGCGGCTACGTGCGAGGTTGATCGGATTTTTTTGTCGTGGAAATGCAACCTGCGGATAAAATATATTCGAAACGATGAATGGTGGTGTTATGCATAGCATTTCTCATTATAAAAAAGTTACTTGCCATGGAAGTATTTTTTAATTAAATTTTTTTATTTATTGTTATTTTTTAAAGAATAAATATTTTAATTTAAAATCTTTTAAATAAGATATCAATATAAAGAATTTGAGCTACATCTCGTTGAAAAAAAATTCTTAATATATCAATATTTCACAAGATTTGTATTTTCAAGAAAAGGACCATGGGCCATAGCCTTTGATTACTTTTTCCACCTTTAATTTTTTTAAATTTTTTTTCTAAAAAACAATAGTATTTTTTTTATCATTTAATTATTTTAAAAATAATTTAAAAAATAAAATTATTAAATCTAGTGGAGTCCATAACATAAATCATGAATTTAAAAGATCAAATTTTAAAATTCAAATTGATTTAATATGTTATCATCACAATATTAAAATAAATTATCATCTTGATTTAATTATTTTAATCAAATCATATTTTTTTTATATAATACAAATTATTTTGAAACTTGTTAAATTGAAGAAGTAATATAATTTAAATTAAATTATAATCAATTAAAAAATTAAATTAAAAGGGTTAAAAGCTAGCCACCTAGATCAAATTTAATAATAATATAAATAATTTCATGTGAATTAAAACTTTTATTTTTTTCAAAAAGAAATTTATTATTTGAGTGTCATCTTAACGAGGTTATGAACTAGTTTTTAATGTATTTTAATTGAATTCATGTTTATTTTAATATTATTTGATGCAATGGTACAATCGTGTTTTTATACAAAATTTAGATTTTTTTTAGTTTTAAATTAATTTTATATGCTTGAATCATTTTAATATATTAATATTTAAAATATATATGTGTGTATTTAAAAAAAAAAAAAAAATTAACCTCTCCAGACATACCCTCCGTGACTCCTCGCGTTCGACAATTTCAGCAAAAGGGTAACGTGAACCAAAACCTTCTTCCTAGCTAGGTAATGCCTACGGGCTCTTAGATCGGACGACAAGACTCTCTTAGATTCTCGTGACCTCGGATTTCGTTTTCGTTTTCGTTTTCACAATTCTTGATTTCTTGTCATTGTAAGCTGGAAAATCGCCCCACCTGAACCACTTTGGTTGAATTTTTTAATTTAATCCGTGAAGGTACATTAACGGTGGTGTAAAATATTAAAAATATTTTAAAATATTTTTTTATATTTTTATATTTTAATATTAATATATTAAAACTATAAAAAAATACTGATTTAATTTTTATGAGTCAATTTATTTAAAAATAAATAAAAACAGAACAGAAGCTATCTGAAACATCCCCTTGTTAATTTGTCAAAATGATTTCATGATTCTGCAATCTTTTCAGTGTGGACTTTAATCCACTTTATCATGGAGAAATGTTAAGTGTAATAATATATGTCCATGTGACATCTAAGTTATGTCATGCAACCATTAAAACTCTACTCTATGTGTCTGTGTATAGAAAATTATAAATCTTTTAACTATGTTCAAATAGGTTATGCATTCTGAGTTTTATCTTGTTTTTTTTAATGAAAAATAATTAAAAAAATAAAAATAAAATCATAACTCGATACTTTTTATATATATTGTTATCATAATATATTTTAATATATGATCAGGAAAAAACATGATTTGAAAAATACTCTTATGCTAAGTCAATAAATAAAATGCATTTCAATATTAGTTTTTTCTATCACCAAACACATTTACTCGTTTCACACACGAAAATCAATTCTCTTTTAATTAGATAAAATTTTAAAATAGATAAATTGACATCTAAATCATGATTAAAATTCTATTTGGTTCTATTGTTTATAGCATTTTCAGGGAGTGATGATTTAAATTTATCCCTTTTGCATGGTCGCAAAACTTTGGTGATTTATAATTGCTTGTTTGGAAATGCAGTTATTATTGTTTTTTAAAGTGTTTTTTTATTAAAATACATTAAAATGATATACTTTTTATTTTTTTAAGATCAGCGCATTAAAACAATCTAAAATATATTTAAAAATTATTTTCAATAAAAAATTAATTTTTTTAAAACATGATTTGCACCATGATTCCAAACAACTATAAATAATGACTTTTTTATTTTATTTTTACCATGTTTGTCTTTGGAAAAACTACACAATACACTATTAATGAACTTTATTTTATAATTCTTTGTCATGTTGGCATAATTTCATGTTATAGGATTTATTTTGATTTGCATATATTATAGTATATTTGAGGTGTTATGAAATTTTTAAAAATAAAATCAAGATTGATATTACAACATAGAGTTTTTAGTGATGGTTAAAAAACCTATAACAACATACATCAAAATTAACACAAAAAAACATAATACTTACTGTTTTCACTATCATTGCAAAGTGAAAAAAAAAATTTATTCCTTTAAGTTTTTTTTTTAAATATAATTTTTTTTAGGGTTTTATATTTCATCCATAAACTTTATTTTTTATCACATTTTAGAACTTGATTTCAAGAAAAAAAGAGAATCAAGTAAAATAATTATTTAGCCATTCACATTTCAACTAAAAAAAATTTATATCAATATCAATTGATTTAACTTGGTGAGATGAGTTCGATGAATATGATTTTACTTTTCAATACATGCTAAAAAATTAGGTTAAAATTCATGAACTTTTTTATAGGTTTAGCTTGATTTGCATTTTTTAAGCTAGTAAAATGAGAAATGGATTTAAAAGGTTCCATGAGTATTTTTAAGGTACCTTTAGATTAAAACATGTTAAAACT